TTTACGGCGTGAAAAAAAAAAATCGACCGTATACCGTATGCGCGCGTCCGTATATAACGCCGTATGCGACGTGTTGGTTTCAGATTCTGAGCCGAGCGAATCTCTTTCCGCCGCGAACGAGACTTTTCTACCGGAAACTTCGCTCCGATTTCCGAGCGTAGCGCTTTTTCTAAAAGGATATCACGCCGGGGAGTTCGTTTTCGAGGTTTTCCCAGGAGTTTACGCAATAAACGGCGAAACGTTCGAAACTTATTATTTTTCGGATCGTAAATTGTACGTCATTTTTAAAACGTGCGTTTAACCGCACCCCGTCTGAAAACGTTTTTCGTTAGCAAAGATTAATCGTTGCGCATTATGTTTTACCCCGGGCACCGGACGCGCGAGCAAAATGTCGTTTCGGACGTCGGCGTTTCGACGGATTTTTACGTTCCTCTTTTCTCGTATATAATTATAAAATATCGAATGTTTTTTTTTTTTTTCCACTTTCCCGATTTCCCGCGTTTTATCGGTATCATTGTAATGTACGCGGTTTTATCGCACTGCTCGGTCGTACGTCGCGATAATATTTTTGCATCGCGTATAATATGTCGTAAACGGCTACGCGCAACGCCTGCCCACGTATATACACATACATTATACAATATCCGTGTAGCGCGCGCGCGCGCAATAGAAATGTACCCGTATTATCTCGTATGCGGAACGCGCATACTAGTGTTTTTTATTATTGTTATTATTACTTTTTTTTTTTTAATTCGCTGTCGTGTTTATAATTACGAAGGGCTGAAAAAAAAAAAACACGTGGACGGAAGAGTAATACACGCCTGGAGCGGTATTACTGCACGTGGAAACGCGTGCAATTAGCGAGCGCGATGTCAATTAAGCGGTGCAGCAAACGCCGCTCGGTTGACGAGACCCGTGTGCGTCGCGTAGTTTATCGCCGTCGCTTCGAAAAACTCCTCGTTATTGTTTTTTTTTCTTTTTTTTTTCATATATATATATATATAATAATATACTAGCGGCGTATAATATGATATACTATTATTATTATACGAGTATTATTACTGCGTAACTCCTCGTTATTGTTTTTTTTTCTTTTTTTTTTAATATCTCCCGACAAACAACACGACGGTGGAGGGGGAAACGTCACAAAATACCTGTCGGCCGGGAAACTAACACGAGATGGTGGGTGGGAGGTAAGGCGGGGAGAGAAATGTAAAAGCGATTTTCCCGCACAATCGTCGACAGGCGCCACACGCACTACCGGGGGCCGTATACGCGCGCGTTTCACCCGGTATACTCGTATATAATATTATAACGATTTCGGCGGGCTTTTGTGCCGCAGCCTCCCCGGCGAAGATTAATCGTCCGACAGTCATGAATTATGTATCCGCCGGGACCCCGCGAAATCGATCGGCGAATATCCGTCGCCCGCGTACTATGCGAGAACGTTATTAATAGGCGCAGCGCGCGTATATAGTGACACGCCGCGGTACACCGCGAACCCGGAATCTGATGCAGTGGCGTGTTTTTCGTACAATAAGCAGCGTCGTTTCCGGGAATTCCGCGACAACGGTAGGCGCGGGCAGTGTCTAGCGAATTCGGCACCCGACGCCGGAAAAATTTAACGACAACGAGAAAAAAAATTAAAGGCCCCGACCTATCTGTCAGGCGTTCGCTCGTACGTTTGCCATACAAATATTCGATTACAAAACCTAACGAACATTTTCAAACGGCGGTGCTCCTTTAGGTAACTCTCGCACCTCCTTAGCCTAGCCACAGGCTTACACTGGGGCTCGGAGCGTCCGATCCTCCAACGTAACAACCTCCGTACACCGTGCGCTCTTCTCCCGGCGGAATACCCGCGAACCGTGCACGGGACAAGAATGGCATTGGGAGTCGTATCCCCCGTCGACCGATTTACAAGAAAAAGTTCCATTCGTCGATTCAACATCGGTTTTCTCGATGTTCCCGTATTTAAATTATCGTTATCGAGTCTGAGATAGGTCAAGATATTTTTGATAAACGCCCGACCGTTGAAAATCCCGGGCACGCCACTTCATAATACATGAACTGTAATACAATAATCATTTCAAGTACCGGTACGCCGGAGAATTATTGTTTTGGCGTAGATATTGCTGGGGTCACCTTGTGCTGCGGCCACCTCGCGTCGGGCAACCGTTCCGTCTATCGTCTGGCGCACGAAACACTCGAAATTGCGATTTTATTCCATTCTGCAGAGTGTATTGAAGAAGCGCGGACTATATTGTAGTAGTGCCATTAAAACGTATTTATCGGAAAGCGCTCCGATTCGTTCGCAAACTGCGTTTTTCTAGATTCCCGACGTCTTCCTCGGTCTCTTTACTTTCGAAAAAATCGTACGTTAATCGTTTTGTTTTTTTTTTTAGATTCCGAGCAGAACGATAAACGTATTGGTTTTACAATGATGTTTTATTTCTTTTTTCTTTTTTTATGCGAACACTTTTTCTACCGGAAAACAACCTCGTCCGCGCGCGCGGAACACGACTCGTCGTCCGCGTGCGTTATTATCCCGCGGTCGGTGTGGGGGGGGGGAGGAGGGGAAACACGCGCGACGTGTACGCGAAACCGTCCAAATTATACACTCGCGCGGACGTCTAATTACCGTGCGTACGCCGCGCTCGCACCGTAACCGTTCGCCCGCGTTTCGTGCGGAGACGGTAAATTTTCTCCGCGCAATAACAATGACGATAATTACGCGGACAATCCGCGCGGCGATCGGGCGGTGGCGCGGGGACGGTCCTCGTAATCCCGCGTCACCGGATCGCGGCGATATCGGCGGTCGAACGCCGCGGACGGCGGGGGAAATGAAAAAAAAAAAAAAACGTTTGAAAAACCTCGGGGGGTTTTTTTTTTTTTTTTTTTCACGTTTACGTTATGCGTGTAATAGCGGTGACCCGGCGGTGAGCCGAGCCGGACGTATGCGCGTCGGCCGGCGGTTCGACAAAAGGGTAAAGGCGAAACGGGTTTCGCGTCTCTCGCGCAGTCCCCGCGCCATTACGACCTCGTCCCTCGCGAAAAGAAGTGGACGAAAAAAAAAACCGAAAACCCCGAAGCCCCCGCGGCGGCCGCCCGACAAACATAATAACAACGTAATTATTATTGATTGCCGTCGCGGGTCCGGTGTAATCGCACGATACGACTACGCGCGGACGCGGCCGACACGGGTATTACGCGCGGCTTGTGCGTTATATTCCGGCGGTAACAATATCGGTTATTATCATTATTATCATTATTATTATCGTTGTTGTTGTTGTTGTTGTTGTGATGCCGCTCTCGTGTATTGCCCGCGTCGTCGTCGACGGTTTTTTTTTGTTTTGTTTTCTATCCGTCTCGTTCCGACACAACCGACCGATACAACACGCGCCGCGGAGCGTAATTTCAACGATAATAACAGTACGGGCAAGTGCGTTTTCGTTGCGCGCGTCGGTATTTTTCGCGCGGCGCGACGTTACCCCGCCGGGCCCCCCTCACCGCCGCGGAACGTTTCCGCGGGCTAGGGCGGAGCCGAATCGTCGAATTGTCCGGCGACGGCGAGCGGTGGGGGCGAGGGGGGGGGGG